CCTTCCTTTTTTTCCCCCTCCACCCCCCCCCCCCCCCCAAATGTTAAAATCCATAAAAGATACATGAAATGTCCAGTCTGTGTATATGTTGAACGTTTATATGTGTTACCTCTTAGTTTTATTCGATCATCCATCATTTGACCCTTGTATTTTCTTTTTCTCTTCTCTCTCTCTACACATTTTGGACGACGAACTTTAAAACTCTCGAAAATGAGATGGATGATATATAACTTATTTTTTGATTGAGTTTTCTTTTTCTTTCTTCTATCGTTGGGCAAGAAAATTTTTATATATAGTGTGTATATGTGTGAATTCGATGTATAGTAAAGAAAAGAACAAAAATATAAAATGCCTATATGTGTCTGTACAATGAATGGATCGCCATATAAAAATCAATTTGCCAATACGAAAGTGTAAAAGAACAGAACAAAATTTTTTATATATTATCGATTAAAACACAAGAGAAGAGAAAAAAAAATAATAAGAAGAGATGGAATAAAAGGGAGAAAGAGAGAGAGAGAACAAGAATCCAACATTGATTTGTGTATTGAGACTCTGTATTCATTCAGAACACGTACATATACCTACTATGTATGTATGTACTAAAAGCCGTATGTATGTTAAAAACTGTTCTATATGAATGAAATTGGATTCATCTATTTTGTCGTGTTCTTTTCATCAACATCATCCAAAAAGATGCATTTTTTCCTCCCGTTTTTCTTTTTTTAAATACAAAATGTATGTATATACAATGAGTCCAATGCATTTTTTTTGTCGTTGTCGTCGCCACGTAATACTAAACATCATCATCATAATCATCAAACTACACACATACACACACACACACGCACACATCGCTGAGTCTTTTTATGTATATTTCAATCTTTTTTTGCTTTTTTTACATGTGCAGATATATTTATATATATATATGTATGAGTGTATTGCTTTTAACCTGGATATGTAGCTGAGTGGTAGTAATTCAGCAAGCATATAAATACAGATGATTATAACGATATATATATATATATCAATCTATAAAGACAGTAAAATATGTCTGACGCTTACAATTACTCGGTTTTTCCACAACAATATGTGTGTGTGTCTGTGTGTGTGTATGTTACAACAAAAAAATAAAAGAAGAAATACATCTCTTCGATATTTTTTCAATTATATATAATCGTGTATGTGATTTGTATTAAATACAGTCCTTTAACAACGACGGCAACATTGAACTACTAAAGTTTGGTTTTTCCGAAAAACTTATGATGATGATGTTAACGACAAATGGGACTTTGTGTAAGTGGGATAATAGTGCCAAAGAATTTTTACGAACAATTAATATTAATTACCACGTTATAGATATAAATATTAGTTTAATATTTGTCTGTTCATATGAATATTATCGTTTAATTAAGAAACAACATAATCGTGCGTGTGTGTTTCTTATATTCTCAAAGTTAATTTTAATTAATATTTTATTCAAAAAGCTTAAAAGTGGCTACTACACTCTATTACCAATCCCCTATACCACCTCCACCGATTCAAAACCGGTAAGTTGATACCAATATTCTGTATAATTTTCATTAATAGTTTAGTAATATAAAAAATCATTTATAGATCATCGTACATCAAATAAAGAAGCAAATTTTTTGTAAAAAACGTAATATAAATACTGAATATATACATGATCTCTTGCAATTATCATTTTTACGATAGTATACACGCGTTGAATTTATTGAATAAAACATAAGTTGTAAAACGTCGACTGACATTATACAATAACAGTAGGATTGCCTGTTATTAGCATATACAAGCTTCTTATCATTATGACTAACTTCGTAACAAAGCATATTATGAATTATAGACGTTTGTTACATTCATATCTTTTTGATAGTATAATATTCTTAAAAGTTACTTGCTTACCAAACAGTTTCTTTATACGTCCAAATTTGCTATATTTTACAGACTTTTACCGCAGTTATCTCATCAATATATATTTTTTGTCTAGTTATCATCAACAACAACAAACACCTTCCAGACAACCACAACAAAATCAAAATAATGTCACGAAAGAAATTAATAAACCAAAAGGTCGAATGTCAGCATATACATTTTTTGTACAAACATGTCGTGATGAACATCGAAAAAAACATCCAAATGAAAATGTAAATTTTACGGAATTTTCTAAAAAATGTGCTGAAAAATGGAAGGTAATTACAGTCATACGTTGTTCTTTAATTCCTATCGAACAATAATGTTGTTGCTTAATTCATGTATCTATCATTATGTTTTGTTTTTAATATAGACGATGAATGATGGTGAAAAGAAACGTTTCACTGAATTAGCTGAAGTTGATAAACAACGATACGAACGAGAAATGGCTGTATATATGCCCGGTGAAAAAAGAAAAAAGAAGAAAAAAGATCCAAATGCTCCAAAACGTCCATTGTATGTTATTATTTGTTTTACGCGAGCAGTTGGCAAAAGTATTAAAAAAATTTTATCATGTTTAGATCAGCATTCTTTTGGTATTGTAAAGAAGAACGACCAAAATTAAAACACATAAATCCAAGTTTATCTGTTGGAGAAATAGCAAAAGAACTAGGAGATAGATGGAATCATACTCAACCAGATGGAAAACATCCATATGAAGAACAGGCTACAAGAGATAAAGAACGTTATGAAAAAGAAATGGGTGATTATAAACAAGCCAATAAAAAAACACGTCAAACACATTGTACGTATTCATATAACTTTTGACTTAAAAAAATTTCTTTTAATTTATCATCAATTTTTAGCTCATCATTCACAACAACAGCAGTCTAATCAACATCAACAACAGCAACAACAACAACAACAACAACAACAGCAACAGCAACAAGTGCAACAACAACAACAAATTCATCATCATAATCAAAATTCGGCAAACTCAAATCAAACGTCAAATGATGTATAAGATAAACTATCTTTATGGTAGTATTTCTTTATAAATGATTTGTCTACTTTTAGAATTCTCAACAACAGTATACACAGCCGTACAGTATGCAAACATTTAATCCGATGCAATCGTTTCAGCCTCAGGTATACTAAATAAATCGTAAAAATTTTTAAAAATTTTTTTTTATTTTTGTTCTTATTTATTTAAAGGCATTTGCCCCAATGAACAATTTTCAGGATAATGTTGGTGGTATTACATCGTTGTTTCCACATTATAATGGTTATCCGGTTCAGTTACAAATGCCACATAATAATGTAGGATTTAATATATAAAATTATGTTACATACATATTCTTAAAAATCTCAAAATTTTATGATAATAGCATTTCTCACACACATACATACATACATACACATATACACAGCGCACACCTATCACACTAACATATTTAATTTTAGTTTTTTTTTGTTTCCAACACATTCTTTCAAATTATTTTACTTTGGCTGTAAATAGTACATCTTTTATTTCGTTTTGTTCAAAACAAGATGAAAAAAGAGAACATTTTTTTTGTGTTTTTTAGAAAAACGATATGTATAAACGTGTATGATAAATCGAAAATGCTCTTCTTATTATGTGCATGTTTTTATTTTGATGAGAATGAGATTTTTTTGAAATTCTTTCAATTACTGGCGACAACTTTCTGATAATAAAACGTTTTTTTTTTTTCGTTTTGACATCTTTGTAGCGTTTCTTATTTGTTATTATTTTTGGTATGTTAAAATTAGGCTTGCATAACACACATCTGTCGATAGTCGTCCGTTTGTACGTAAGAAATCTTCCTTTCAAAAATGGACATTTTTTTTAAACTTGTTGATTTTTGTTATGCGTCTATGAAAAGAAAAGATAACAAATGTAAATAATATACACCGGCATAATGATTGCGTTGTCATTTTGATGGGACGAGGGGGAGTATTGAAATGAGATCAATTTGGCCATGACAAGACATACCACTACATTTCGAGAATGGAGTACGTTTGAGAGAGAATATCTACTGAAAGTAAGTGTTCGATGTTATTTAGCTCTATTAGTCGTCTGCTAATATATGTATTGCTACCTTTTGCTCCCACTTCTAATACCAGCAATATTTCTCTTACTGTTTATCTCCATTTTTCGATTTTTTTTTTGTTACGTCTTCGTTGTAGTGTAATCGCTAATTTCTTTTATTATTCTTTTCTTTTTTGCACGTTAAAATGACTTATACACGGCGTTCTGCTCTTGAGCACGCTTTGCTAAGTAATACACGCGTGTATGTATGTGCGTGTTTTTTGCATCTGTACGGATATCAACAGTTATCAATTCTTCTCTTACTCATATTAATCTAACATTTATCTCTTTTCTTTTATTAGTTACACGCTTTTATTCAACAACAACAACAACAACAACAACAACAGAATCAACAAATGCATTTACAACAGCAGAATCAACAATTACAGCAACAACAGCAGGTAAATTTTAATTTTGCTAGCAAGTAGAGAATTTCTGAATAATTTTTTCATTTTGCCTACAATAATAAGAAATCTGATTTTCATTTATCACATTCAGTTTTTGTCTCATCTGTGATGGTTTAAGTAATCTTTTATTTTTTTCTGAATAATGAACTATCTTTCTAACAATTGATTGTGTATTGATTTTCCTACTTTAGGCATATGCCAATCAAAATCAAAACAATAATCAAAATAATTCGGCAGTTAGTAGAAATGAGGATGAAGATGATGACGACGATTTGGATAGTGAGGAAGATGACTAAAAGACTGACAACGAATAACAGCATTATGTATAAAATTTACTCTTTATTCGTGTTTTTCCGATAGCGCAGCATTTTCCTGTTTTCTTAGCTATCCATTTATTTCTTGTTGTTATTTGTTACTCTACTTAGAAAGTCGGAACGAAGACCAGTAGAAAATAAATAGGAAATGATGAAGTGTTATCTACTATAAAGAAGATAAACAGCAATGTTTATCTAGTTTATCATTCTACTTCTTCTTGTTATTGGTATCATCATTTTGTCTGGAAATTTACACACGTATTTCTTCTCTCGTTTTGTTTTTTTTCAAACTGTGCGAACGTGTGTGCGTGCGCATGCAGAAAAGAAACGGTATTTTGAATGGAGAAAAATAAACGGTTTTGATCTAGTTTGTTTTTTTGTTTTTCGTTTCTCTGCTGTACAGAACTCAATTGTTTTTTCTCTGAAAATCACTTTAGATGTATCTTTTTTTGTTTGGTTTTTATTACGTTTGGATACGACAAACATAAGAATAACAATTTCAATCTTCTATCTATAAGTTGCTTCCTCTCATTTCGTACGTTTTTTTCCGTGTATTGTACATGTGTCACAATGATAAAGAGAAAAAAAAATTGAAAATAAAACTTGTTAGAAAATGACGTAAATCGCAAAATATCTTTATTAATTCATGTTATAAACAATTATTACTAAAACTGATCCTATTATGAATGAAAAAATTTAATTCACATTTAATGAACACAAGACGAATCTATTGATGGTAAGACATTTTAGCTATCAATAATGTATTGGCGTAAATTTGATTTAAAATAAACGATTTTTTTTTTGTGCACTCTTATCTGAAGAGAAAAAAGCAAGGTCAGAATTTTCAAAGAATTTTTAACTGTATGTACGTGAAGTCGTACAAAATTATATTTAAAAAAATCAATTTTTTTTCCTTTTTAAATTATGCGTACAATACTTATTGTATTTTATTAACAATGCAAGAACAAAACTCATCTGTCATTTTCTTCTATGTCCAGTTTAAAGAACGGAATAATTCTTTCGATCAATCATTATAAACTAAAACGATAAAAGCGTTGGTAACAATACTCAATAAGTATTCATTTTTGTACATTTTATTCTACAAATTTATTCTGAAAATAAATATATGTTAGAAATCAAAATAATATTCATTTAGTTTGAACGAAAATATTTTTAGATATTTTTCTTGTTAATTTAATCTTTCATTCAAATGAGTGCACGTGATGGCTTAACTCGTCCAAGAATTGAAATTCAACCAGATTGGTTTGACTATGTTCAGAATAAACAATTACCTGTTGATGTGTATGTGAATTTCAAACCTGGGAGCATACACTTAGATTTAACACGTGCACAACAAGATTTACATGCTCTATTGTTAATCAAAACTCCAAATAGAAATGAATCGACTATATATGAAACATCAGTTTCTGATCATTTTGAAACAAGTCATATTGAACATGATGAAATATCCATAAAACTCAAAGATTCAGTAATAAGACATACATTTAAAGGTATAAGAATAAACTTGAAAAATATTACAATAATAATAATATTTTTCATGTACTTCTTTTGATTTCTATTAGGTCCAAAGAGAATGTTTAAACCATTCTATGATAGTTGTAAAGAAAATAAGACGGATACCTCGCCTCTTATAAATATACCAGAACTAAAAAATCTTCCATCAGTTTCAACATCAAATATTCATCCAAATTGTCTAGATATTAATCAAGACGGACTCGGCTTAGTAGGATTAAATGATGGAACGATAAATATATTCAATAATGACAATGGTAAAGAAATTAAAATTAATATTTGTAAAGCTTTATAATTGTCATTATTATTTAGGTGATATCCATCATACATTGAAGGGCCATGCTCAAGATGTATATACAGCTCGTTTCTTTCCATCTAGTAAGATCATTGTCTCCGTTTTATAGCTAGAAAAAAAAATGACATATTTTTACTTTGAAAAGATCATTTGATATTGTCTGGAGGTGGTGACTTTCTTGTGAAAATTTGGTCATTGGAAAATGATGGTGAATGTCGAGAAACATTAACAGGTCATACATCAAAAATTAACGATTTAGCAATTATTGGTAATGGTGAACAAGTCGTAAGTATATCGGACGATGGTTCGGCACGATTGTGGAATTTGTCCAACGAACCTAATAAAACCGTTAGGACAATTTGTCAATTAGATAAGGGAATTAATAATTGTTCTTTATTTGAATCAACTCTGGCATGTGCATGTGCAGATGGTTATGTTAGAACGTATGATATCAATCAAAATAACATAAAAGCAACATCGGAATTAAAAATAGATGGTGCTGTCAATTGTGTATGTTATAAATCTGATTATATGATTTGTGGGACGGAACAGGGTATAATTAATGTTTACGATGTAAGACAAACAAATTCTGTTGTACATTCATGGAAAGAATTAAGATCAAAAATAACATCGTTAACACAACTGGATGATGATGGTGGTCTTTTAGTAACAACTGGAGATGGTTCAACATTTTACCATTCTAGAGAAATGTTACAAGTAACAAATATTGAAGTCGAGACGGATCATTCAATGCTCTATGATGTTGTAGATTATACAGGACCGAAAGATGATATAGTGTTGAATGCGTGTGTTGATAAAAATAACAACATTTACACGGTGGCTGGTGATGGTTATGTACGTATTTACGATAAAGTTCAAGCGAAAAAGTAATTAATAAGTACATATTACAACCGGTATGAAATTGCCATTTGAATGAAGTTAAATAAATTAGTTTAACTAACTTAGACTATTTTTGTAATTAGATTTTATTCTAGCACAATTTTTTTTGTCTGATACATAAAATTTATATTTTTGATTCATTAAATTAAGTCATATAGCATAAAAATGTTTATGATTCTTTTCTTTTGATTTTTATCTGTCATAATAAAGAAATAATTATGAAGTAAATATAACATGTCTATGTCAAAACAAAAAAAGTTAATTTTCAGTTTTTGACATCGTGTCAGTGACGAACGTGACTAAAAATTTAGAAGTACAAGGAACAATGTTATAAAATTACTTCAATTTTGTCTATTTTACAATTGTTGTTTGAATGTTAAATTTTATTTTAATAAAACGAATCCTTCTCTCTTACATGACTGATAGAAGATGAATGTTTTTTTCATTTAATTACATCAGTAAAAGAAATGGAGGACTTTTAAAAAATATTTTAGTTTAAGTTAGCTGTAAAATTCTATAAAAAATTAATTTCTGCATTGCAGAGGAAAGAACACAACAATAGATAAGCTGAAGTATCATCATGAAAAAATACGGATACAATTGCTATTTTAAGGTACAGTACGTCATAGATTGTATCAGATATTGTTTATTATCTAAACGTTCTATACACAAGTTTATTTTGAAGTAACGAATCATATTAATATTTAATTTGTAAAGTTAATTGTTATGTTGTTTCTTAATTTTACGTACTTGGTTATTTATAATGATACGTTTCTATTAGTTAATATTTTCAATTGACTAGCAGAATTCGAGTTTGACATTTGGTTGACTTTAACATTCATATTGTTAACCCAGACGTATGCGTAAATGATTGAGGTATTATAAACAGGAGTGAGTAAGTAAATCAAGTGTTTTGATAAAGATAATACAAAAAAAAAGAAAGAATATTTTGTTGAAAACTCTTTCATTATTTATCTGTAATCGTTTCTCTTTGTTAGCAACTGAACTGAAATAAAGTAGCAGGAAATGTCTGATTGCTAGTGATATTTTTTGTTTGAATCATTAATTGAAATTTGTTTAACAACGGAAATAGTATTTGAAGAAATAAAATAAAAAATCCGTTAGTTTCTTACTGTTATTTTCATCTTAGACAGACGAAATATATGAAAAATAATTTTCTTTCTAAAATTCGAATTATATGAGAGAATTTGTTAATCCTTCGTACGAATTATCAAAACAAAAAACTAAAGTCAATACACAAACACAATAGTAATGTGTACAGAAAAAAATGTAAAAGAATGAGAAGAAATGAGATATGACCATGTGTGAGACTGGACTTGCGTCAATCAGAGTAGTTATTACTACGTCTAATATAGTTTGAATTTATAGGTTGGTGTGACGAATAGAACTGTCTTAACATTTTACAAAAAAGAGATCTGAAAATTTTGTATCTACTTTTACATAAATCAGAACGTTCTGTTATCTATTAATCTTTTTCATGCACCATAACAGTATTTATGTGAAAATCTGTTTTGTAACCGTGCTGCTCACATCAGATTCGAATGACAAATATTTTATAGTCAATAAACCGACTTTATTGTTTGCACCAAGAAATGAGTCTATACGTGAATGGAGAGGCAAAATATTAATCTAGGAAAAGTATTTCTTATGACGTTTTTGTCAATTTATTGCTTATATTATAAATCGAAAGAATGTTAGACTGCTAACTCTGATGGTGGTTTAACAAACATTTCTCTCTACTTCTGTGGGGTGAAATCTCCTAAAAAGTGGCCTTATTATGTAAATCACTTGAATTGTCATTTTTATTCTTCATACGCAATTCTATAAAAAGCTACGTCGATTGTCATATCTATTCTGAAAAGACTATAAGCAGTCTTATTATCTAGCTAATTCATTCGTGATTCAACTTTCGACAGCTTAGTGCTTCTCAGAAAGAACATCTGCTTGCCATAAAGGTTTTCATTCTATGAAAAGTAGTTCAGTTTAACACATAGGTTTTCTTTGATTTTTGTTGTCGTAAAATATCGGGTTTTAGACAACTATTAAAGGTAACGAAAATTTATAACATACAACTAACTACTAAGAGTACAACAAACAAACTATTACCCTGCTTGAACAGGATTTCTAAACATGTACAAAAAAAGTTCGAACGCACACACACACACACATGACTGAGAAGGCAAAAAGAAAAAGTAGATTTGTAGCGTTCTAATATATGTTGCACAAATATCGAGTGGATATTATCCAAAAAAAGAATAATAGTAGGAAAGTCAAGGTGTTATATAGTGTACAAATTCAAATATGGCGAGAAAAAATAGACTTTGCTTTTATTGCAAAATAGCGTTACTTTCTTTTTTGTATCTAGGATTTTGTAATAATTCCAAAATAATGTGAATACGTATTGAAAGTAGTTCATCTGAGTTTTAAATGGAAAATGTTGGTTGCAACAAGACAATAATTTACAATATGCACAAAATAAATTTGCTAATGTTCGACTGCTAATCACCATAGTTGTTTGTGCAGAAATCATTATTCCTGTTGTGAAAGCGGTCAATGATGGTATACCATCTAAACCTATTGAAACATGTCAGCTAAATGTTGATCGCTACTGTTGACATACTGAATGAATGTGTATTTTGCTTTGAGAGTTTATTGCGGAGAAAGTAATTGCTGCTGAATAGTGTTGTTAATGATGATCACTATCGGCTGTTTGCAATACTTGACTATGATAATTGAACGATATATTAGAATTTACTTTATTAACAATGTTACACACTAATTTGGATGCTTTGATTCTATGACAATATAGAAAATAATCATAATATTCTTCGTCTAATCGACGGCGTCGTACAAGTTATTTTATCTATGAATCAATTAAGAAAATATCAGTCTTATCTTGTCGCTATTCAGAACTGAAACTAGGGCTCATTCTTAATTGAGATCACTATTTTTTCATTCACTCTTATTTTGCGGTTCCCGCCCTGTGATGCTTCTTTGATATTAATTTTTACGTTACGCATTTTATCAAAAAAGTGATCTCAGTTAAGAAGCCTCGGAAACGAGATACATAGCGTTGAAAAGTAAAATTTCAATTTGTACAATCATTTATTAATGAGAACAGCTATCGTTTACAGGATTTATACTGTACGCTTATAGTAACAAATCTGAGATGATCTACCTGGAAATCAGCTTTCACAATCACTATTGTTCAGATCGATTATAACGTATGTGCAGTAGATGCAATACAAAAATCATTTTCTGATCCAACAAATTCGTTACATTTGCTTTTGATTTATATCTTTATTGTTTCAATAATAAGACCAGCGGCGAACCATTTTAGGCCATGCATAAGATAGGCTACATTTAAGTGATAAAGTGTAACAGATGGAAGATGAACAGTGAAATAATATATAAAAAAAGTTAAAAACGTCGAGAAAAAGTGAAAATAAAACAGACTAGACGGAGAGACGTGGCATGGACTAATTTAAATTTTATTAAAACTTATTAACGTTCTACTAGCTAATCATCAAATCTATTGGTTTGTTTAACGTAAAATACAACTACTTTTAAAACAATTGTAACTGAATCGTCATCTAGATTAAGATCATTCAGCAATAGTGTGTCGACTGTAATCGTGGTTAGAAAATGTAGTCCATGTTCCAGATTTTGTCTCTCATTGTGATAGAGATTACACTACAGAAAGTAATGTTCAACATCCTCCTTTCCATTCCCACATTTACATTTAGGCGAGTCTATACACTTCCGTTTTATGCAGATAAAAGTTTAAAGGCGGAAAATTTGAAATAACATTTGCTTTTTATATTTGCACGTTTGGCATTGCCAAAATTGACGAAAAATCAAGCTATTTTATTTATTTCTGAACAGCTTGCCGCATGACCACTGACTGGCTTCTTTAAGAAGGTGTGAGTGCCAAATTGCAGCTCTCCTTCATTCTTCTAACAGGATTCCACTTAGTATACTGATTAGCTTGCATTATTATACAATACAGTACGTGTACGCTTAGACACGTAACGATCACTTTCAATACTGAAATAATAAAATAATTCAAGTAAAAATTTTAGGAAAATGTGTGCAAAAAAAACTATACGTGTCAGAAAAAACAACTTTCCCAAAGAAGTATGAGTGACATTAGCGAATTCCCTATTTTTAGTGATATTGATTGTCATCCTTTCATATGATGATCATAACTCGGCATTGACCGTAATTAATCGGTAGTTAGCTACAATGCTTTTTTCAAATGAAAACTGATATTTGAACTCGTAACAAATGACCAAGAACCACTGCTATCTGATAAAGAGGAAGACACGATAGAATTTGAAGATGATTTTGATGTGAGATCTGAATTATTTCTCGATTTTTGGGAGAGTTTCGTACATTTTTTTTCAAATGCCGAAACTGTCGTTGGTAATGCATTATTCGATTCGACAATGAGCTTACATGGATCGGTAACCCTTTGATAATAACATTTTTGTTTGTTATATTTCGGTGCAAAATAGTTCACAGAAATATTTGATGATTTCATTAATATTTCTGATACTGAACAATAATGCTGTGGAACTAAAAACTTTTCAATCATTTCTTCTGTCTCTTCTAATTTTCTGGACGAAATTTCTTGTTCTTTGTCTGATTGAAAAATTTCTTCTTCACTTTCACTCTCTTCCTCTACCTCTTCATCATTATTATTTGAAGAACTCTTCTGTGATGTTGTTATTGTCATCAGTTCTACTATGGTAGTTGTTGTTGATTTCGATTTTTCTACTTTATTATCGATTTTTATTGGAAATGTTAATTCATCCTCGCTGACTCTTGTCGGTATTACGTCAATGGCTGGCTTTGTCGCCAGTCTTATCGGTCGTCCTGTGATTTCTGAATAATCTTTCCTCAACGGAATCGTCCTATATAACCAGTTTTTAATGTATCTCATTTTTTTCCCAAACGTTGACGGTTTGGTGGACTTTGATTCTATTTTATATTTTGTTTTTAGATACGTTATATATTCATTATTTTTATTCGTTATTACATCATTTTCCTCAGTCGTTGATGCATTATTTTGACTGTCACTTGTCAATGTTTCTATTGCTTCAAGATAATCATCGTTTCTATCTAATCCATCTAATTGTTGTCTTGTTGTAGATTTACTAATATCGAAGAAATGAACCTTTTTTGTTTTATGACTATGTACGACGTTCATCGCATCACTATAAATTAATGTATTTTCACTATGGGTTGAATTTCGGAGGCATGACTGATCTCCTCCCATTACTCAATTTGTTTTCGTTTAAAGTCAATGTTTGAAAAATGAAAATGAGAACTGGAAACAATTCATATTGATAAAAAAGCTGCAAAATTTAAAAAGATATCGATGGCGCCAGAAAATAGTAGAACTATTGACATCTTCTATCTGATCACCACTCGAAGGAAACAGTCGTGCAATTGGAAGCAACACAACGTAAAAAAACTCGTATGGATATTGTTATATTGCCCGAAACCTTTCTCTCGGATGTTATTCAAAAAAGTCATTTAATGTCTTGGATATTGTAGGTAAATAAAATGAGTAAGTCTGTCGAGTTGGTACCACATTTTCATCCAAATTCTGCGCAAAAGATGGAGACTTACTACTATTCTGGAGATGTGAATATTGAATTCTCTCAGCTCCAAAATCCAACTCCAAAGGAGGATTAAATATATCTTTAGAACAGATCATTTATAATCAACTGTCTGCGTGTTATTATATGTTTTTATTCATGCATAACGCTTGATAATTATGACAGATAACGAAAAGAACGATCAGTGGTTCTAGACAGAGAAGAAAATCTTCATTGTAATATTTATTATAAAACAGACGCTTGATATATATATATATATAAATAAATAGCATATTACAGGATAAGATAGTAGGAACTATCCATATATTCTGTGAAACTCAGTGAAGCTAGTTTCGGCTAAAATTTGAACGAACAGCGGTATAATAGCGCTACATTGTAATGACAGGATTCCAGCAAATACAGTCGTGCAATAAACTAACAGTTCATCGAAGATAATTGGTGGAAAAAGAATTACAGTTCAAAAAAAGTGTGATTTATCTAAACTTATATGTTTTGATGATCTTATATATTTAATCAATCTATTGTTTTTTAAGAAAAATTGTAACATCTAATGGCAAAAATATATGTTATGGTTGCGAAAATGAAAGTGCATTACATTCGCTGTTAAAGTACACATTGGAATTGTCGTTTGCGTTGGATGCAACAAAATATTTTGTAGAAAGCATTTCGATAAACATCGAGATTGGCCACTGATTTGATTGAAATAGAACAAATTCATAATAATCTCAAAAAGGGATTTGAAAAAACGAGAGCTAATAACGAAAAACATCGATTAGATTTTTCAATAAATAATAATAAATGAAATAGATAAATGGCGAAATGAGACAATAGAGAAAATTTCTTTAGCTGCTGATACAGCTTGTCAAGAAATTTACCGTTGGATAGACAAATGTAAAACAGATTCATTGCCAAAACGACTCGAATTGTTAGTAAATGACATGAGAATAAGAAACAATGCAGAAGATTATACTGAAAGGATATTTTTCAATGGCAAAAAGAACTTGTAGAATTAACAAATGATATTAAAGATTGTCAAAATAAAATTGAATGTATTCAAATTAATACGAAAAAAGTGAAAAAATCGATTGGGCAAAATTGATTAAAGTACAAATAGGAACAGTTGCAAAATTATCAACCAGAAAGACAAAATTCATTAACGAAAAAGAACAACATGGACAAAGTGTGTCAGTTAATAATTAATTTAAACAATTGAAAAAAAACGTAAATGACAATATAAGTTCCGACGAGATTATAGCAAAAAATTCATACTTAAAATGATCTTCACCGATGAGAACATTGTTGAAAAAAACATAAACAACAAGGTCATTTAAATTTTTCATGACGGTATACCGCTCGACAGACAAATGAATATATTTTAGCTCAATCAAATGAAATTTATGGAAATCGTAACTAGGTAGGGATGAGCGGTAACGGTAAAAAATTATTTACCGAAGTTTACCGCGTTAAAATTTTGAAGTTTTTACCGTAAGCCGGTGACGGTAATAAAATTATTTTTATTGAAATTCTATTTTACCACTATCATTTTGAATTTTTGACTTTTCCTATTTACGTCAGAACATAAAATCAGATGTGGTGAAATATTAAATATTTCCGAAAGATAAACTGTAAAGTGAAGTAGCTGTAAATCGAAACGTTTTGAATATTTCTCATTCATGTTAGTGTGTCACTTTATTGTGTTTTTAGTTATACAAGTATCACTAAGGCTTCTGTTTACCAGATGTTATAAGTTACTTAACGTTTACTATCTTTGTGATGTCCTTGCTTATGCAATTCGAACTTCAGTTTTGAACTTCAACTATGAACTCAAACTTGAACTTGTTAACTTGTTCGTTTCCTAGAATAAACCTATTAATCGGTTTAAAAAATAACCTACATATATTATCGAACACTCTGTAATCATCGGTAACTTATCGTTCGTAACGGTAAAAATTTTTTTTACCAAAGTTTCCTGCCGTAAAATTTTGAGCTTTTTTACCGGTTTGAAATTATCGCTGTAAAAATCTGAAGTTGTTACCGAAGTTTCGATAACGGTAACACGTTTTTACCGCTACCGCTCATTCCTAATCGTAACATGACACAACGAGATCTGGTAGCAAAAAATGTAGTTTTTGAAAAAATGCACAACAGCAATTAGAACGTTCATCATTAAAAAGTGTCGAGTTTCTTCCAACTTATATCTATCTTTGTGCTGCTAGAAAGGACGTGGGTCGATAAGAGGCAAAATCGACCCCCTCTCAGATCAAGCTCATATTCACAAGTCTGATGTAGTTTTCCTCGGTGATTAAAACTAGTATCTCAAAAAAAACATTTTCAGCCCCCCTGGGAAAAATTCCGCA